TCTTTCCAAACCATTTCATGCATATATAGGAGTCTTGGAATTTATGCCATAAAATGAAATTTGGAACAGACCCAAGCAAAACTAGAATAAACAAAATGAAGATAAGGAAGCAATAGCGGGTTTGTTCTTTAGAAAGAACAAAGCTATAGAACGGTTTCTTCTTGGCTAAAGTGGGATGGGCAAATGTCTACTTGGTAAATTTCTCTGACAGGACATTTGTTGATCCTGATATTCCATATTAGTTTGTTTTACAGCTGCCATTATTCATAATAATAATATAAGTAGATTAAATTCTACTAAAAGAAGTAAATTGATGAATATCCTAAATTATTCTTTTATAGAATTGTGTGTATCAAAGAAGTCATCTTATTTATTTCCTGTAGTATTTTCATGTAAATCAATAAAATAGGAACAGTTTGAGAGCTTGCGAACTGAATTCAGCAGTGAAGTTGAACTTTTAGCCAAAATTGATCATCGGTGTTTGGTGAGGCTACTTGGTTATGTTGACACAGGACATGAACGCCTTATCATAACAGAGTATGTTCCAAATGGCACTCTTAGGGAGCATTTGGATGGTAAGGTTGCTTAATTTAAGATCTCTTCTTGTAAAAATGAATATTAATATTTCTAGTAGGTTAATCTAAGCAGTAACATGGATGATAATTGTTTCATGGGTAATCTTGGCAGGTCGACGTGGTAAAATCTTGGATTTTAACCAGAGGCTTGAAATTGCGATTGATGTGGCTCATGGCCTAACATATCTTCATCTATATGCAGGTAAAGAAGCATTCTACTTAGTTAGCTTGTTTCCATGATCTATATGGTGAACAAAAATAGATAAGTAGAATAGGGTTCCTCTCCAAACACCCCAGATCTTACATTTGGAAGTTGGAGATGGAAGCTTTTTTTTTCCAGACAACTTATAATTTTATATTTAGTAAATAGAAATCATAAGTACGTATTACTAGATTCAAGTTGGAATCATTTGCTGAATTTTTTTATCTCTTCTCTTCTCTTCCTTCATTTATCCATCTTCTCTCTTTTTCCTCTCTTTTTGATCTTCTACAGTTAAGATAATAAAGATCTTAATTTCATCTCTCCCTTTCCCTCTCTTTTCATCACTCTCTTCCGAAATCTAAGGATGAAAATAATTATGAATTTTCAGGTTTATTTAGTCCTCCCCGACTTTGCTTTTCACTTTATAAAATAAAAAACTGGATGTTCCATTAAAAATATTGATTTTCTATGTTGTTGATTATGCTGTTTTTATATCTCCAATTCATTTTTTCTCATAAAAAATTAGATTTAATGTAACCATTTGACGATCGAGCTTAGTGTTATATGCCAACATGATTCTTAGGTTCTTATCATGTGCTTGTATGTGCAAGCCAACATGATCCGCAGAACTGGCAGAATTCTAGATTGAGTTAATCAATAAATTTGATGCTCATGAAGATGCCAAATGAGTTAATCAAAGCTAGTCCTTCATGTGTTACTTGCTTGTGGTTTTTGAAAGGTATGTTATTTACTTGACCTCCGGCTTGCCTTTAAACAGAGAAGCAGATCATCCATAGAGATGTCAAGTCATCCAACATTCTTCTAACAAAAAGCATGAGAGCAAAAGTAGCTGATTTGGGTTTGCAAGGTTTGGCTCGATGGATTCCAATGAGACACATATTTCGACCCAAGTGAAAGGAACAGTTGGTTACCTTGATCCCGAGTATATGAGAACGTATCAACTCACTTCCAAAAGCGATGTATATTCATTTGGGATCTTACTTATAGAAATGCTAACAGGCCGTCGTCCTATTGAATCAAAGAGACCCTTTGAGGAGCGAGTGACACTTAGATGGGTATGTTTCATCTTCCTTTCCTCTTGACATGATATCAGTTTACTTCTCCAATTGATATTTGCAAGTTCTCTCAAAACATAGACACGGAATTTATCTTATGTTGAATGCGATCCAGGCACTTGTGTTACAGAAATTCTCTCACACAAAACACAAAAATGCATGTGCAATAGAATTACATGTGCCCCTATGTGTGATAACTGAACTGTTTAACTTGCAGCAATATGGAAACTTTCCCAAGTCCTTGATTTGCATGGTCCAAATTTACATTTTTACACAATTAAATTAATTTCGCTCATCTTTGATTTCATAACGATGAATCTTTTAATCCACAACTTGTTAGGAGTATTCATAAAAGGACCTAATTTGAATTGAATGTAGAATTAATTTACAATTAGACTTTTTTAATACAATGTTTTATCTAATTTGTATAGTATTCTCATCTATATTCTTTAAAACTGACATTTAAACCAAATTCATTTCACATGTAGATCTAGATACTACACATCTGAAATGTAAATGTTCCCCCTTTCTTCCTTCTTCCACAATCTAAACCTTGCATGAATTTATGGTACTTGTACAGGCTTTCAATAAGTACGATGAAGGATTTATACGAGACTTGGTGGACCCTTTAATGGAGGAGGTGGTGGATGTGAAAATCGTAAAGAAAATATTTAGCTTGGCATTTCATTGTGCAGCACCGATAAGGAGGGACCGGCCGGACATGAAAGTAGTCGGAGAGCAGTTATGGGCGATAAGGGCGGATTATATCAAGAGTGTAAGAAGAGAATAACAAGCCTACAAAACTAAATGTGCTCTCTGCTTGATTCATCAAATGTTTTTTATTCCCTTCTTTTTTGTCTTACTCATTTCTCTCTTTTTCTTCTTAGTTTAATGTGTAAAAACCAAAATGTAGTAATAAAGCTGTACCTTCACCAAGGGATTCTTTTCCTGGCTTCATCATTAATTTTTTAAATGTATATCTGGATATGGTGTGGGCTTGAGAATTTCATCCGGACATTGCACTGTGTCTCCAGACATTATACATACATATACATATATATATATATATGAGAAGAAAAAGAACAGAAAGACTATACCATAAAGAAACTAGAGTTCGCCAAAGGGCTAGTCTAAATTGTAAGGAAGGTGTACTCTAATTTAACTAAAAAATTGCTCCAAAAGAAGAGTGCAAGTGAGAATAATTTAATGCTGTGAATTTTCCACTCCATGACTAATGTTGAATAATTTAACAGTTACTTGCATAATTCAGTAAATTCCATACAGAACAAACATTCAGTATTGTTGCTACCTGATTGAACAGCTGCTCAGAAAACATGAGAGGAAGAACGATAGACTTGTCTTGCTATTGTTGCAGAAGCATGCTGATACAATCTCAGATCTCCCTCCATAATGGTAGAAAAGAAAACAAGAATAACAATCTGAATCCTATGATTATAATCTCGACGTGCTTACAGGTTATATTTCTCTATCAATTTATCATGATTCACAAACAAAACTGCACTCATGACGAGGAAAGATGCCAAAATAAAAGCTCAAATAGAAGAGCGAGAATGATAATTTATTAAAGCTTTCTCCATTCTCCAAATCAAAACTCGATTGAGTTAGCGCAGTTTTAGTACATAGAGAAAGCAGAAAAAAAAAAATTATTCCATTCTCTCTTACCATGTCTTCAATCCAGAATCGATGAGGAATTTAATTGTATGATTCAGCCACTTTCTGCTGCTCAAATAGGATTACTTACAAATATGTTCCTTGGTCTGACCTGCATAGTTCACTGAAATTACCCTATAACCAATTAAATAAGGCCGGGAACCTGATTCTCAATCTCTTCCACCTGCTTCTTATCAGAGAAGGCTGCAAACCCAATAGATGCTCGGGCATGAAATCATGCCTTGTCAATATGCCCACCACAGGTGACATCTGCAATTAAGGAACATTGGAATTTAGACTGATCAATAAGGATATTTGCAGGGAAAATATTAATTAACGTAAACAATTGTGTTTAAGACATGCAAGCATGGCATGATTCATACACATACCAGCTCCAATGTGAGGAACAGAAATGCCTGGTGAAACATATACCATTTACAAACTACTACTAGACTAAAATTCCATAAGAAAAGCGATTACATGGCACCATAGATTATCAAATTGACGGTATAAATTACATGAATACTGGAAATTTTAAAAAATGAAAAAAGGGGAGGGAAGCTTCACATAAGACAGGGTTGCAATTACCAGTCAAGTATTTGAATAATTAAGCCAATGTTTAGGTGTGGAAAACTATAAAATAAAAACATGACATTTTTTCACTATCATTTTTCAAAAATTAAAAAATAATAGTGCGAATATAGCACAAGTTTAGAAAGATTCAGAGTTGTTTTTCAACTTCTATCGTATTTCACTATCATTTCCTAAGCCTTATTGTCATTTTCTATACTATTCATGTCCAAATTCATATGCATTTACAAAATGAAAACTCAAAGCAGTTTTTATTAACTAAACATGGCATAACCATGGGAAGACAAGGAAGAGTGTGCTATGAAAGGGTTAAAACTTAATCTATACTATAATTTATATTTATTACTAATATTATGATTCTTTGTATCATTAGGATTATACAACCTAAATCTTAAACTAGAGATCTACATGTTCATGTTAGACTAGAAATCTACTTTATAAAATATACAACCTAAATCTTGTAGACTAAATTTTTTTTTTTTAAATAAAAAAATATAATATGATTCATTAATTTATAAGTACTGAGAAGGTGTCAACTCATGTACAAAAAATATTTACATGTCAATCAAAATATCATTAAAATACTTAAAATCTTTTATTGTATAAAGAGAATGACTCATAACCAAGAAACTAAGTGTTTGGAACAATCAATCTCTAACCCTATCAAATTCATCTTTCACCCCCTCAAGAGCTCTCTTGTTTCCCTCTTTCACACCATCCAAAGATAGTAACGAGAATGAGACTAACATGTTTTTTCCCTCCATTGGTATATGTTCATATAGAGTAGAACTCTGCTTTGTAATATTATAAGTAATATATATGTCTCATGAATAAAATAACCTTCGATATTTTTCATTTCAGCTATTACCCTAATAAGTCTAACAAGTGCATTTTTGTTCACAATTTAGAAGTACCTTGAATTTTTATGCAAATACCTACCATGAAAAAATAAAAAAAATAAATACGACAAGTTTCTTACACTAGAGATCTTGGGTATCACCAATAAGTGCCTTAAACCAACTTCACGAAAAAGAATGAGCGCCTTAGCTAGTGACATAGTCTCCACAACAGTATATGGCGAAGCATTAGTAAAAGGATGTAAGTCTAAGAACATCTCCATTTCTTCCTCAGTTAATTCTATATCCTCTATCTTGTCACCGTTGCCTGAACCCCTCTTTGCAAAATCATCTGATGAGAACTGCTCGAGGGCATCAGTTCCTGCTGGCACTGGACTGGACAAGAAGTTCTTCTTCTTTAGCAATGTGATAAGATGAGCACGGAGGATTAAACCATAGAGAATGGGGGTTTTAGAGAGTGGAGACTGATCAATTACTGGAAAGCCATTATGACTTGTTGTTCTCAGAATGTGGACTATGTTACTGACCTTCTCGATTCCATTAAAGAGATTTAGTGGGCCTGTGACTACATCAGCAACTGTCAACTGTCTCATGTAAGGCTCAGCATGAGCTTCTAGGTATGGAAAACCCTTTGCTTTCATTATGAGGTCATATATATTGGCATTAAAAGCATCAGCAACAGTCTTGGAAACAAGAAGAACCAACATTATTAGTGGCAACAATAGTAGATTATTGGTCAATTCTAGGATAATGACACACAAAGAAACCGTCATCCTCATAGATCCACCAAGAAATGAAGCAGCACCCAGTACAGCAAAGAGACCATGATTAAGAGTTGAGTCCGAACCAAGTAGCATACCAACAAAACGACCATATGATGCTCCAGTCACAATAACAGGGACGAAGAGACCCGCAGGAGCAACAATCCCATAGCTTATGATACTAAGAAAGAAACAGGTGACAAAAAATATGAGAATTGAGACAAACTGGAACTCTTCATCAGTATTTTTGCTGAAAAGGTTCCTGATAGCATCATCATTTGTGTTGAAAAAGAGGCTAGCAAGATCATTATAGTGACCAGGAGGACATTGGTACTTCTTGTAGTTCCCTGACCGGCCAATTGTAGGACAGGCTTCTGAAGCATCTGAAGGGCATGGTTGGCATGAGGCGAGAAAGGGCAATCCAAATAGAAGACAGGATGTGAAAATGGAGATGGAGCAGGCAACAAAAATTTTGCATGAGACACCTTTCCTGAGGTGAAAAAGAAATTAATTCCAATTACATGCTACTACATTTTAAAGAATGAAAAAGAAAATGTGTTAAATCACAAAACCAGAAAGGGAACTTACTCATGAATAAGATTGTAAACTCGTAGAACCTTATCTAAAAGAAAATTGTACAAACTTCCCAAAATGCCACCCACAACTCCAAGGAGAAGCACAGGAGGCAAATCTTGCAGATGATATGAAACATTTTCTGAATAGGCATCAAACATTATCAGGCCACCTTTGCCAAATAACCCACACTTGCCACTTAAACAAACATCAATCAAAGCACGGAGAAGAATTGCAACAGTAGCTGCTGTGAAGAACGCTCTCCATAGAAGTGCACTTCTCCACCTGCATAACAAAATCTTGACCTTGATGTCCTGACAGCAAAATATATGATAACTACAATGTTCTGGAATTTTATGTCCCACCCAAATGCAACACGAGGATAACAACAAATTGGTTATTGGCATTGTTAAAGGCCTGGATCATGTAGCTTGCATGAGCATGCACATGTGCAGGAGCAGCAGGTAGCCAGGTGATTATCTCCTGATAATAGCAAATTTACTGGTATATAGAAACTTTCATTTTCCCTCATGGTTACAATGTCGTGAGTTAACTCTATTTTAAATGTGTTATGTTACATATGGTGGGTTTTAGAAGATAGAGCAGAGAGAGACAACATGCTTAGCAAAGTGATAAGTGAAGATAAGTAAATATGAAGATCGAAGAACCATCGATAGAAATTCTTAATTTGGATTTATTAGTCCTAGGTTTGGGATTTAGCAACCAACCAACTTACTGTAAAATTCTGCAGCAAGCTTGAAGCTTTCTTGTTTGAATTTCGGTCTTTACGACCTATGATTGGGTTTTTTGGAAAGAATCTCAGTCTACATAGTTACATATCTAAAAAACTTTTTATTTTTGTTTTTCTTAGAGGATTGAAGTCATTGTTGACTCAAGTAGGGATCATAAATTAAAGATGACAAAAGGCCTAAGAGAAAAACCATTGCTCTCAAGGCTCAATGATAAGCGACAACAAAAGCAAAGATGGTTCAGATAAAGCAGAGGTTGTCACGTTGCAAAGAAAATTAAAAAAATCTTAAAAAAAGTGTAGAATAAAGTACTCCAAGAAACTTGAACCTACATATGACAGTTTAAACAATTAGTCATATCAAGCCTAACAAACCTATTCTCCCTAGTACAAGAAAGGTACTTGTAGCCAGTTGGTCTAAATGCTGATGCCTCCACCATAAAGGAAAGAAACTTTTACATCGAGCAAGCAAATCTTTGCTTGATGGCACTAGATAATGATTCCAAGGTATACACTTTCAACAATATCAATGAATCAACTTTCATTTTATCAGCTTGATAACTTGTCTAATGAACTCCATAAAGAGTTTATGAACATGGAACACAAAACTAGTGCTCTCAAGAAAGAATTCAATGTGACACCAGCAGCAAACAGAATGCTATCATAATTAATCTAACAACACGAGAGGAGAAAACATAAATATAAGTAAGAAATACTAGTAGCATGAAATACTCAAATATATGAAAATTCTTGGATAAGCCAAAACCCATCCTAGAGAGAGAAAACAAGTTTATCCAGATAGCTCAAAATACCAGGATGACATTTCCTCCAAAGCAAACAGCACACCACCTAATGGAGCACGAAATGAGGCAGCAATCCCAGCAGCTGATCCACATGTTGCAAGATCTCGTCGATCTCGGTCATTTTTAAAGAAGCGAAGCCATTTCCATGTTAAGCCATATTTCTTGGAGCCACCTTGACCCAGCAAAGATGCAACACAGGCACCCATATGGACCATAGGGCCGGCCTTACCCACAAAAAGAGAGGACGATACTGCAGTAATGCTTCCTATTATCTGTATCCCAAGGAAATATGAGTATGAGACTTCTAGTTATAGAGGAAAGATATGAACTGCTTTCTTTTAGTTTGACAGGGTAAAAAATAATGAAGAACTTAGCAATCTTAGGGAGACAAAGATGTTTGAAACTCTCAATAGTGGGCTTTCATAAAGTTTTCCCGACAATTCCTGAAGAAAGTCTTATGTCAGTTGGAGTATCCCATGCCTTACAAAATAACAGGGAGGAGAGTAAGGTCTGGAAGCTATTCAAGACAAGTAACATAGACTTTCACATAACAACAAAATAGTTTAAATCAATATATTCAGAATTCAACAAAAGATAGAGGCAAGGAACAATGTCATTTGCATGAATGCATTTCCTAAAGAACTTCAAACTGCCTAAGTGATTGTGGGATTTGTCATCAAAAGGATACAGTCAACTCTCTCCCCATGCGTACCTTCCTCGCATCTAACAGAACTTTTTCTTCCATTCCTAGTTACAGTCATTTAGCAAATTAATCTTGCATCTGGCTTACCTACTATCTTGTAATAAAATCAATTAGAGTTGCCTCTGCAACCCACACCCCTCCAAAAAAAAATGTAAGAAATCTATAACCAAAGTTAATTTTTTTAGACATAAGATAATAAGATTAAAAAAAAAAAAAACTGAATAAGTATCTAAATATTTGATGCAACATTTGCTCTATAAATTAGTTTATAAGCCTCATTAGTCACCACCACCGTTCTATTAAAATACAAATTGTATATTTGATTATTTCCAATAAGTTTAAAGTTTTTCTGATAATTATTTACTTCATCAAGCTTGTGCATGAAAGAACATTTTCGCCAATAATAGATTGAGATTTCTTATCAGCTTAAATTTTCGAGAAAATTGGTTATACTCTGATATTTAACATATCTCATCTCCAATTTCAGCTCTTCCTTGCAGGCTTAAAAACAACAATCTAGCAGAAACCAAACACTTGTAGGATCAGTACTAAGGTAGGATCATTGTTAAGATAGAATCTTACTATTTTTCCTATTTTCCATATTAGAAAAGTATAACATATAGATCAAACAGTATATTAATTAAATTTCTCCTAGTATATGTTAATAGCTATAGATTATTTATAATAAATTCAATAACTTGTACTGGAAAATTTCTCTCATATTCCATTGATTGTAACCAGTAAACACAAGAGATAGACAGATCAAATCAGATCAAGCCAAGTAATCTGCCGGTTAGATATACATCTTTTATCAAACACAACTTGTATCAAATTACAAATTATAGTTAAATCAAAGGCAGTAAGGGATAAATGCCTATAGATGATAAAGATCTGATAGGAGATCTAAAATTTTCTTTCTGAGAGAAAAGATTGACAAGATAATTAACTATCATTAATAATTTACAAGTTGATAAATAAAACATAAAGCTTTAATTTACACTTTCATTTCATGTATTCTGTTTATTTTTTCAAACTTTTCATCGCCAAACACATGAATCCAACATCCTCCTGCAAAAGATTAATATTATGGCTCTTACAATCTGTAATACCCGGGCCCGAAAATCGGCCCGGGATGATTTTCTTTATTATTTTATTTATAAAAGAATTATCTAAATAATTAATTTATTTTATTTTATTTTTATTTTATTACATCTTTGAGAAAAAATTACTTATGAACGAAATTGAAATAATTTTGGAGAAATGGGTGAAATTTTGAATTCGGAGAGTATTTTTGAAGAAAATTA